TTGAAGCTCAATCTCACATACTTTGGAGAAACCAGTCCTTGGAGGACATCATGCTTGGAAGGGTAGACAGCACAGGAGAGGAAGGCCCTGGATGAGATAGACCGATTCAGTGATTGTGGAAATGGGGTCAATAGTGTAAGAGATGGTGAGGTTGACTCAGTACAGGACAGGGTTCATAGCTATTATTCATAAGGTCATTATGGGTCATAGTTGACTTGACAATACATAACAACAACAAGAGTGACTCCTGCCGTCATTAACCCTCTACTTCACCAAGCATGATATGCTTCCTATGGTTGATTTCTCCTGATTACATGTCAAAAAAAGTGAGTCAGATAATGTTCCCTTGTGATCCAGAAGGTCTTCCTTGGCCTATTTTCAGAAGTAGATCATTAAACTTTTCCTCTTTGTCTCCATGCTCTATAGAAATCTACCCACTGTGGTTGACCGTTCTGGAATTTGAAATATTAGTAGGATAGCTTATAACATCACAGTAATAGATAATCTGTATGCTGAGCAAATCGTTTGAGAAAGTGTATTTTATTAATAAGAATGTGGCATCAGGATCAGAGGAAGACCCATTAACAATCTATGTTATGCAGATGACACAACTTTGCTTGCTGAAAGTGAGAACTTGAAACATTTGCCACAAAAGATCAAAGACTATAGTTTTCATTATGGATTATATATCAACATTAAGAAAACAAAAATCTTTATAGGCAACATCATGATAGATGGAAAAGAGATAAAAATAGTCAATGATTTCATCTTACTTGGATCCATAATTAGCATCCTTGGTACTAGTAGTCATGAAACTAAAAGCTGTATTGCATTGGAAAAATCTACTGTCAGGCACCTCTCCAAAGAGAAGAGCAACAATGTCAGTTTAAAGACTAAGATGTGCCTGACTAAAAAACCAAACCAAACCATGGTATTTTCAATTACTTGCCATGCATGTGAAAGTAAGACAATGAATAACAATGTGAGAATTTATATATTTGAGTAGTAATGTTGAAGAAGAGTACTGAATGTCTCATGCACTGCCAAATAGACAAAATTCTTGTAGAAGGTACAACCAGGCAGTACTTTAGAAGCAGAGAGAGTTAGATTTTGTCACACATACTTTGGGCATGTTGGTAGAAGGGGCCAGTCCTTATAAAAACACATCATGCTTTGAACAGTGGAGGTTAAGTGAAGGAGGGGATGATGCTTAACGAGATGGATTGATAGTTACTATAACAATGGGCTCAATATAGCATAGATGGTTAGGATGGCACAAGATAGGGCAAGGTTCAGATCTGTTGTTCATAGGTTTGCTGAGTCTTCATTGACTCAGTGCCACCTAACAACAACAATAACCATAGTATGACATACTGGTAGACATCTGGTGGTTAATCTTAGATAGTATGATTATATTGTTGTTGTGGTGACTAAAACTTTCAGGTAGATGTTTGTTATTGTTGTGTGCTATAGAGTCAGAACCAACCCATAGCTGACCCACTGGTGGGTTTTCAGAGGCAGTTAATAGCACAGGAGATCGCTTGTCCCTAACTGACCCACAGGTCTGAACCTTGCCCTATCCTGAGTAAATCTCGCAATCTCTGACACACCTGACCACATTGCCATAGTCACTGTGTCAATCTGTCTCATCCAGGGCCTTCCTTTCCTGTGCTCACCGTCCAACCTTCAAAGCAAGATGTCCTTCTCCAAAGGCTGATCATTCTTGGTGATATTTTGAGATGGAGCTTCAAAATCCTTGCCTCTAAGGAGTAAACTGGTTTCACGGTTTCATCAGCACTAATGATTAACCAGATGAATTATGGGATGACATCAAAGATATCATCCATAAAAAGAGAAATGTTGTTTAAAAGATAAAGGAGAAGTGAGGAAAACCCAAAATGGATGTCGGAAGAGACTGAAAATTGAACTAGAGTGTCAAAAAGCCAAAACAAACAGGCAGAAGACTCAAAGGGTAGCTCAAGAAGACAAAACAAAGTATTATAACAGAATGTGAAAAGAGCTGAAGTTGGAGAATAAAAAAGGGAAAACCTGCTCAGCATTTCTAAAATGAAGGAACTGAAAAAGAAATCCAAGCCTCAAGTTGCAGTACTGAGAGGTGCTGTGGGCAAAATCTTGAATGATCCCAGAAGCATCAAAAGAAGATGGAAGGAATACACCAAAAAGAATTGTCTGACACCGAAATATTTCGGGAAGTACTATATGAACTGAACAAAGCTCAGTGGAAATGAAAGAAGTGCAAGCTGCACTGGAGGCACTGGCAAAAAGTGAGGCTCTAGGAATTGATGAGATACCAACTGAATGTTTCATCCAGCAAATGCGTCTCTGGATGTGTTCACCAGTCTGCACTAGGATATTTGAAGGACAGCTAGCTGCCTGGCTGACTGCCTGGAAGAGATCCATATTTGTTCCTATTTCCAAATAAGCTAATCCAACAGAATGTGTAAATTATCAAATATCATTAATATTGCAAGCAAAATATTTCTGAAGATCATCCAAAAACAGAAGAGTACACGTGCACACACACACACAGAGTGACAGAAATACCAGAAATCCAAACTGGGTTTAGAAGAGAGAAGATAACAAGGATATCATTGCTAATGTCGAAAGGATCCTGCCTAAAAGTGGTGAATACCAGAATAATGTCTAGTTGTGTTTTA